ACTAATATGTACTTCAAAGTACTAATATGTATCCTTTAGGGGTAAAAAGGGTACAAAGATACGCCTTTAGAAAGGGTACTACCCCAGTGACAGCTTTTGTACCTTTTTTTCTGAGAGTGCAGGATATTCTTTTTTTTTTTAAATCAAATTTAGTGTTCAACAAAAAGGGTTATATAGGGTTTGGAATGACATGAGGCTGAATAAATGATGACAGAATTTTCATTTGATTCTTTATTGCAGAAAGTAAGCTGTCTTGCAGCGAACCCTCCTCTGACAGACGGTCTTCTGTTGTATGAGTACGAGGGTCAAGGCACCCCTGCTGGCTCTGTTGGTCGTTGCAGCCTCCTTGAGTCTGACAATGACCTGGAGTTCCTTAACAACCTCGGGTCAAAGTTCCTTACATTAGCGGAACTATGCCTTCCTCCAAAGCCTTCTTTACCACCTCCCAATACTGAGCACGTAGTCAAATCGGTTGAAACCAGCTTCAAAACCGAGAGCTCCGTCAGTACTAACACTATCCAGATTACCAAAACCATCCCACCTCCACAGGAAGTACAGCAAAGCTCTGTTACCAAAGTTGAGACGGTTAATAAATCAGCCACGCTTCCAAGTGCCAAACCAAGCCAGACGCTTTTTGTGCAACAGCAGCCTCTATTCTACCTGGTGGAGCAGCAAATTCCAAACACGGTTTTTGTTGAGAGTCCCACTCAGGGTTTGTATGTAATAAATGGGAAACATGGGACTGAAGGTTTGATACTCCAAGGTGGAAACGTTTCACAGGCGTCTCTGAGCCGAGGACAACAAGCAATGTACGTGATTAATGGAGACCCTGTAGCTGAAATTCAGCCAATACAGCTGCAAACGGCAGGACAGGAACAGGAGGCTGTGATGGGATGTAGCCCTGTCTCATCTCCCATCGGATCGCCTGGCGGTGTACTGCTAATGCCGATACAATTTCATGAGAACGCAATGCAAGGGGTGACTGGCACACCACCAATCTTGCTTGCTGATGTTCCAACACTGAGCAAACAAAAGAAAAAGAAGACACCATCTGAGACGTTGGGTACTAAAGGAGTGGACCCTAAAGTAAAAGATACTGCGGCATCTAAATAGATATGAAAAGATCCAAGAAGAGAAGCCCCAAAGACAGGGGACAAAATTAACCCCCTTTCAAGAGAGAGAAAAAAAGATGATGGATGGATGGATGGATGGATGGATGGATGGATAGATAGATAGATTGATTTGATGCTCAGGAAACATTTCTTGTTATTATCAATAATGAGAACTGTGATTTTTTTTTTCCGGATTATTTGATGAATAGAAAGTTCAAAAGAACAGATTATTTTTAAATCTTTTTTTTTTTTTTTAAACAATGATTGTCTTTACTGTAAACTTTAATCAATTTAATGCATCCTTGCTGAAGAAAAAATTCTTAAAAAAAACTTACTGACCTTTTTGAACTTTTGAACGGTAGTCTATAATATATTAGATATAATGTTGGTAAAAGCTTGTCGGAAATTTATTGGATAGGGCTGTGCTGTGAGTAATATAAGAACAGTGTTGATGGAATAATTCCTCTAATTTTCATCCAATATTTTTGTGTAGTACATATTTTGAGCTTATTTGTTGTGCTTTTGAACATGCTAGCATCAAAATGAACATGAGAAGCACAATGCATTTCTACAAGAGTGGCTGTTGCTGTCTATGAAGAACATCAGATTAATCACTCATGAAGTTCCTTATTGGTTGATGTCTGAATAGAACAGCGGTTCTCAATACCAGTCCTCGCGACCCCCGCCCACCTCTGCATATTTAACATGTCTCTCTTATTTAACAGATAACCAGCTCCCTGAGCACGGGAAATCCATTTAAGCTCAATTCACTTTAGAACATTCATTCATGGATTTGTGCTACACCATGGCCTGCAGCGTCTTCACACACAGACGAAACTTACTAGAGAAGTGTGAAGTGTGACATAACATACTTCTGTAAATAAATACAATTTAAATTCACGTCTCGCACACTTTAATGCCCTTTGAATGGAACATATACGCTCCCTTCGAACTGGAATCATGGCGGAATATCCTGTGATGTCCACTTCGCAGGGCACTTACGGTCGAATAGAACAAACGTCTGAAGTGGTTAGAGAAACATAATACATAATACATAAACAAAATGTGCAGAGCCGGGGGTCGCGAGGACTGGAATTGAGAGCCACTGGTATAGAAGACAACTCCCTCTTAGACAACTGACTAGGCTTTGAGACAAGCCAGTGTCTGTCAGTCAAAAGATGTCAATGCATGACAAGAAGAAAGTGACTCAAAAGCAAAGATTTTTTTTTTTTAAGATCAAAAGACATTTAACCCTGAAGCAAAACGCTGCTTCTCTCTCGGAGAATGTAAAGAAAGAGTAGCGCATACAAAAGGAGAACAAGCTTGTGAAGCACAACTTGAAAATCCAGCCTCTTTTCAGCTTTTCTTCTGCTGAAGTTACTAATTGTCAATAAATGTCCTCGCTAACAGATCATCTCTTGCACTGTTCATTCAGTCAGAGAGAAGTGTCTATGCAGACACCATCTGGACCGTTTGGGCCTTGAGGTTCATTGGCGTTCACATGGACAGACGTGAACAGTAAAGAACACTATGTATGTGAGCTAAGTGTTACAGATGGAGATGGCCTGTGGGAAGAAACTATAAGCATAGGAAAAGTAAGAAATCCTCAACAAAAGTTGAATATGTGCTCCAGGTGCTCACACAAGATGTGAGAGTTTTAATCCAACTAATGTTAAAAATGTATCACATTTTTCTGTTTCTTTTTTAATTTTCAAAAAGTGTTTTTGTACACACTGACTAATCTATTTTCTTGTTTAATTACATACTGATCATTTTGGTGATTATCCAGTGGTGATTTATTCTGCCTTAATGGAAATCTTAAATCGTGGGGATTTTTTGACAATAATAATAAAGTCCTTTAATGCTCTAGCTCTGCAGAATGTCGTTTTTCATTTGTTACTGTTGTGAGTCATGTTTTGTCAGCTTGACAGTTTTACTATTAACCCTTAGAGGAATATGCCAACTTACTATAAGAATATGATGCTTGTCAGACTCATACTTTTTCAGTCCTTCCTGATAAACAATCAGATCTGATAAGTTTGAACAGGATGAAAGTAAACTGTCAAATAAGCTCTTAGAATAGTGATTCACGTCATCATCCATTTTGAATTGGGCAAAGCGTGGGAATTGGACTCCTTGTAATAAATCACATAAGTGACAAAGTCTTATGTTTGCTGAAAAGGTTCCGCTGAGTTGTCATTATCATTCTTCAGCTCATACCCTGTGGCATGAGGACTCATGTTGAAAGCTAGCTGCAAATTTATGACTGCATGGTAAGGCAGGTTTCAGCAAGTAGCATGAAAAGAGAAAATGTTATGTTTTTTTTTTTTAAGAGCTCCTGAGGCACTACAGTGATCTGTCAATGCACATTCAAGAGCCACAAAACAGTATTTATTCTTTTAATTTCTTTTTAAAAAATTTATTTGACAGAATTTGAAAAAGCTGAGACTTTGTTTCATACCAAAAGTAACCTACTCTGTCTTGTCTGCCGGCATGTTGTGTGGTGTGAGAGCGGCATGGCTTGTCGGACTTAGCAAGAGTAACTGGGGGGGGGGTCTTTGTGAAGGGTAGAGGTGGATGGTCTGATTCATTATAATAAATCCCTTCATTTGGATGGATCCTGTAAATGAACAGATTCACCAAAACAATTCCCTAGTTTGACATACTGTACTTTAGTGCACACAGTACTATTGACTTGCTTATGTGAATTATACATTTTGTTGAAATTAGTATTTACAAATTCAAGCTTGATATTGTCAACCTAACTGAATTCATTAATAACATTAATTGTTTTTTTGCCCCCTTAAAGGGATAGTTCACCCAAAAAAGACAATTCTGTCATCATTTACCCTCAAGTTCCAAACCTGTATGAATTTCTTTCTTATTCTTAACACAAAAGAAGATATTTTACAAAACATTTGATGGTCCCCAATAACCTCCTCAGTAAAAAAAAAACTAAAAGTCAATGGGGACCGTCAACCGTTACACAAATTCACATAGAATTACACAGAATTTTTTGGTGAACTATCCCTTTAAGGATATCAATATAGTTAACTACTTTTTGCTTATAGGTTTTTATTTATTTAAATTTTTTATTACTATTATTATTATTAGTTTTACTTTGAATCAATATTAGCTTGTAGTTTCAAAGTAGTTTCCCCAACACTGGCAAAGGTCATACATTATCCAAAGTCACACCTTCTGTGCATGACACCACTGAGCCAGCATTTCACAGATACAAAGTGCCTGTTCGACTTTATATATATATATATATATATATATATATATATAGATATATACCTTTTCCTTTCCACCTTGCTGTGCCAAAATAATGCAAATTTTGTTTAGAAGAATAAAACAATAATGAGACTGTATGATTTCTGTATTACCCAACCATGGGCCTGTTATGAATCTATTCCCAAGTAAAAAATTCTGCTGTTCTCCGCTTAGGGATTACATGCCTTTAGCAAGACAGCTAGCACAAGAAAATATGTGAAAAACAAGCACGTACCCACCTCTCAAGGAATAACTGTACACTTTTCTTTGAACTGTCAATAATAGCTCAGACCCTTCAAATTTGTGTTGCCCAGAAATTTTTCACTAGTGAGCCTCAGAAAGTAAACGAGCAATGAATCAGATCTCAGGAAATTTGGGAGTTAACATTCATGAAATGCACAAATTCCAAGGACAGGAGGTCTGTTTAATATATACGGGCAAGTGCCCTTGATTATTTCCACTTGATAAACCAAATTGTATGCAGTTACTGATTCCCCTGTTTATTTACTGTGTCAACAGGACACCGCAGATACCCCTCGAGTCACCTGATGACAGGGTCGGCAGCTGTATAAAGGGCATTTTTGGTGTTAACTCATGCAGTTGTGCTCTATCATGGCTAAAGCAGTGATTTGTGCGCTTCTTGCATCTCTGTTTGCCTGCTGTAGATCTGCACCAGTGGTAAGTTCAATTACTTGTTGTATAGAATAGTTATATAACAGGAACTTGCATATTTTTAATTCATTAAAGCGATCTGTTTGATGCTAAGAGCAAGTACTATTGTATGCATTCTCTGTATGTCATGAATTATGTCATGAAGAGTACTAACTGTGTAAACTGCATATATACAGGTGCATCTCAGTAAATTAGAATGTTGTGGAAAAGTTCATTTATTTCAGTAATTCAACTCAAATTGCGAAACTTGTGTATTAAATAAATTCAATGCACACAGACTGAAGTAGTTTAAGTCTTTGGTTCTTTTAATTGTGATGATTTTGGCTCACATTTAACAAAAACCCACCAATTCACTATCTCAACAAATTAGAATACTTCAGAAGACCAATAAAAAAAACATTTTTAGTGAATTGTTGGCCTTAAAATGCCCCAAAATGCCACTATGGACCCTTGACCTGTTTCCATAATTATTAACATCGTAAATCTATTAAAGTTTTAAATCTATTAAAGTTTTTTAAAAGTGCTTTGTGTTGTATTACCTAGGCATTAAATTGCAGAAAACTAGTTAATGCTGCTGTGTGAGCATTTTAAATAGAATGGCTGAGTGAGGAAATCAAATTTGACCAATCTCTATATTTCCTCACTCTTTTGTCATAGAAATGCACTGTAGAAGTTTACCCAACTATGACAGCTTCTGCTTCTGAGAATCACGAAACGGTGAAAAGTGTCCATTATCTGAGAGATATCACACCTGTCTGCCTGTCAGCCGTAGGCTGTGCATACAGCAAAAAAAAAAAATTCCAGATTAGGTTCTTAAGAATAAGAAACCTAGCCAATCAGAATAGCTTTCTGTTTGATTTTGCGTGTTCAGGTCTTTGGAGGGGTGAATTTTGGAGAGAGTGTGTGAATTGAACCGGCTGAAATCTCTTACAGCACCTTTTATATTTAACTTGGCAGTGACACAAAATCTATAAAATGTATATGAAAGCTAAAATGTCCCCTAAGTTGGCCCCTTCTGGGTGAGACAAGGTACTTTCAGTTGTTGGACAGACTAACATATGGGTCGCAATGTTATCTGCGCTCTGCCATACTACAAAGTGCTGCAGTAAACTCTATACCTGGAAAACACACATATACACAGCTGTACGTCCAGACAGTCACTGACCCAACAAACAGCTCAGAGCTGATACAGCTGCTTCCATTATTTCTATTTAGCAGTAATACTGATTCCTTACTAATAAGGAATACAACAAGCGATTGAGCTTAAGACAAGATCATTTCAAGCACAATTTCCAGGACAAGGAGCATTTCTATGCACATTGACTGTGTTCCAGGCTTTTCATGGTGGTTCAGATGTTCTCTGCCCTCTGACAGTGAAGATCCTGGATGCTGTGAAAGGGACTCCCGCTGGAAACATAGCTCTGGATGTCTATCGCCAAGATCAAGGTGGGACATGGGAAAAGATTGCCAGTGGGTAAGATCACATTAGCCGTCACACTCTATAGAGACTTTCGATTCAAGTATATAATTATATTGAACATTAGTTAATTACATTTCAGATTTTTCATCTCACCTAATTAGATCCCAGTGGACGACTTTAAGTGTGAAAGCTATCTAGTAATTCAGTATTAATGTTCATTCTGTTTGGGCTCAATTTGACCTCAGCTATGACATTTTGAATCAGAGATTTATAAAATATTACAATTCAATGCTTTATTCATTGCACTATTCATGTTACCCTTGGGTCTTTGGGACAATAATGTAAAAAACAGTTCATTAAGGATTTTCTAATAAATATTATTAAGAGTCAAATGATGATGATAATAATTGTATGGATAAGTATAAGTCAATAAAGCCAAATATTTACCTGATACTTCAATGACAATATATACGGAACTGTTAAAATGGGCTAATGGTCTCTCTGGCCAAAATAAAAATAAAATAATAAAAAATTGTTAAGTTAAAAGTAAAAAATTTCAGTTAGTTGCTAAGACATTATTTGTTTAGTTTGTTGAAGTACTAAAATAACAAAGTAAATAAACTAAAACTACAACAAAATTACAAAAACTTTAAAATTAAAGCGAGAACAGAAAATATATAAATACAATCTAACTTAAAAAATATTAACAAAAACTATAGTACATGAATGACACTAAAATAACACTGATTAATAGTATGATTTGTCCTGAAATCATACAAATTTATAGGAAACAGTAAAGCATTTTTATTATTTATTTTTGTATAAAAAATAATAGTTTGTTTTAATGCTGGCATTACTGTGGTTTTGTCTTTGTAGGGCAAACGGCTCTATTCTCTATCCTGCACTTCATTTTTAGTCACATCCTCATGGTTCCTCTTTCCTGTCAGTGCCATTATCACTAATGAGCTCTTCCTCTCACACAGGAAAGTGGATATGTCTGGTGAGGTGCATAACTTGATCACTGAGCAGGAGTTCACTCCTGGCGTGTATCGGGTGCAGTTTGACACTAAAGCCTACTGGAAAGCAGAGGGCCGTACACCTTTCCACCAGCTGGCCGATGTAAGTAGCGCTTTGACAGCACTCCTATATTCATGAGCATTTAATGGTTGCCAAGTGATGGGTTATTGTTGTATCAAGGCTCCTAAACCACAGGACTGCACATAGTCCCCTCATTAGGATGAGCTGAGACTACTTTGATTATTATTATTTATAACAGCTACCTTACTAGACTTGCATAAGGCTGTTTTTGCAGCAAATATGTGTATATTAAAACCCTGAATGATTGTCTTGGATGTGAACCAAGAGCTATATTAACTGTGGGGAGGTAAATATTTAAGAACCTGTATCTTGTTTTCTATAGACACACAGTAATGGCCAGTTTTAGATAAGAGGACAGAGCATTCAAGGACAACACAAACGGAGCACACAGGCACTGACAGATATACAGTCTTCCAGATACGCTTTGTATTTCTCAGTGGTTCTTTGGTGTTTTTGCAGGTGGTGTTTGAGGCTCATGCAGAGGGGCATCGTCATTACACTCTGGCTCTTCTTCTGAGCCCCTTCTCTTACACCACAACAGCTGTGGTCGTCAAAGCACATGAGTGACAGCACACAACAGATCTACAGCGACAATCTACACAGAGAAATTACTTTTCATCCAAGGTCCAAGATTTAGAATTTGCCACACCTTGCAATGCCAGATTGATTGCTAAAATTCACAAAGTCAATATCCTGTCAAAAGTGCGTTGCAACATTACGATTTTTAAGTTTTTGAATGAAGTCTCTTATGCAAAGCTGCATTTGTGTGTTCAAAATACATTAAAAACACTAACTGTGAATTATATATATATATATATATAAATTACTAACTAGCCATATTTTTTTTTTTGCATTGTTTTGTAATAAATACAGTTTTCATGTATTCTAAAAATCGGTTTTCAAATCATTGGTAACACTTTACTTAAAATGTTATGCATTTTAATAGTAGTATTATGCCTTGTGATTATTGTATTATCTCATGAATAATTGTAACCAAAGTTATAATACATTATGTACATTACAACACAAACACACTTATTTATTGTTACACCTTTAAAAAGTATAATGCATTAAACACATGACAAACAAATCTTTACATCATATAACGCATTTATGAAAAGATATAATGCATTATAACCAGCATTATGAATACCCTTATAATGCATTATACATAAAGGCTTTTATTCACATTACCAAATCATTTGTATGGTATACGGAAGATATTTGAATCACACACACTAATCGCATCATCAAGAATCTGACAGTTATTCACTTCGACTTAAACCATGTGTTATGCTACAGTTATTCACCAAAGCCAGTTTTTAACTTGCATTTTGGTGCTTGGCAAGTGTTAATTTTGGACCTTGATTATACCCGCTCTCCCTCAGACCAATTAAAGAGATCAGACTCCGAGTAAGTTTTCAACTATAAAGTCTTTTAATGATCATTACAGAGCGAAACGCAGTGAATAGACTGGTTCAACAACAAAAACAAAACAAAATCTGGAACCAGGATTGTACATGTCAAAGTAGCTGGCATCTGCTTCTCGTACTGGTGTTACAGTTAAAGTGGACCCTCAACACCGGAGAAACTCAAACGCAGCAGAAGATCCTCATGTTTTTCAGTTCCCATTCAACAACCAGCAGACATTTCAGTTTTAAAGTCACAGCTCCAGTTTGAAATAAAAAACTTTTGAGTAAAAGAAAATGTAAATGTGCACCCAGTTTAATTTTTAAACACCATCCACACGCACCCCACTGCACATCTCAATGCGAAATTGAGAAAAAAATAAATAAATCAAGGCACAAATATGAATACTGCAACAATGTAACACTCTACACATTACAGATCTGTAATGGTAAATAAATCATCTTTTAAAATTCTCTATCTATTATTTCTTCTGGATATTTTCAGACTGCTGAACAGGATGGGGCAGCTATGAGAGGGGTGGGTTTGGGGTGAAAAATGAGATGAGAATGAATCTAAATGAGCAGACAGCACTGAACAAAGCTTCCTCAAAAGCTACGACTGACTAACCACCAGATCCAAACACACCAGAGCAGTCTCACCGGTATGTTTTACATAAAAAATTTTTTTTTTTTTAAAACAAACAACAACAATACACAAACACACTCTTCATATCAGGAACGGGGCATTACACCACCACCAAAAAAAAAAAAAAAAAAAAAAAAAAAAAAAAAAAAAAAAATAAATCAACAACACAGTAAAAAAAAAAAAAAAAAGTAAAATAACAATAAAAATCAACTTAACATTAAGTTTTTATATTGCAACCCACCTTACTTTAAGAACAATGTGTAACTTTCAGTCACAATCTGTGTTCCAAATAAAACCATTTCGCTGTCGTGCAAAAGCTAATGATTAATTTGTAACAGGCCTATCTGACTTTGTATTGCAGCATAAGACTAATCATTACTCCATTAAAGTGCCTGCAAAACAAGAAAACTGTGAAGGCGGAATGACACTCATTTATTTTTTAGAAACTAGTGCTCATAAGCCACACTTCTCTCTTCAAAAGCCTAAACCCAGTCTAAAATGCCTCTATTTTTACATTAAACAACACCTATCAAGTGTTTATATCTCACCGGCTGCTTCAACACGAATACAGGGCATAAACCAACAGCTTGCCTCCAACTTTGCTTATGTTCATTTATTGGCCCTGTGCGGTGGAAAAGGGAGATGAGGGGTTTTTCAGTTGCGTTTCATGTGACACCACATATACACAAACTCACTTGAATACACACTCAGCGTGACTGGATCGAAAAGTTTAGATTGAGCAGATGTCCTAGAGCTACATTTCACTATACAATGCTGAAAGATGAGGAGAGCGAAAGGGACGAGGAAGAGGAAAAGCATACTTTGGCAGCAGTAGCCTCCATATCATATTCAGTATATTATATGACAGCATTCTTTGATTCCTAGTCTGAATTGGTCAAATGTTTTTTGTAACCCGTAACCACAGTAAACAGGTCTTTTCAGACCCAACTGTAAGTCTGATGGTATAAGAAAAGACTGTAAACAACAGACTGGGCACTGGAGATCCCGTCAGGGACACCATCAATGGGAGAAGACCATACTAGTGTTAAGACGAAGTCCACAAAGCAATCGGACGACCAAAGAGAAGCCATGGCTCAACCACACCTCAGAGACACGCAGATGGAAAGAGAGGAGTGTAGCATTTCTGTGAACTGTGAGTGTCTTAACTTCAAGTGTCACAAAGTGCAGTTTGTGTCGCAAACTATGCTGCTGACACAATCTCGCCCTCAATGTGTAATTCTCCGAATGGACACACAAACACACACACACAGACAGCATGAGAGGATATGAAACAGCAGTTTTAGGACATTTATATGATAAGTTAAAATATACACAAAAAATAAATGCGACATGTTATATCGACAACTCCAAAAAATGTAAATTACATACAAAAGGCAAACATGGACCAACAAAAAGTTTTCCAACAGCTTGTAATGCTCGAAACTTTAACAGCATAAAGTCGTCATGGCCCAAGTGTACTCCGGATGCCATTCAAGAGCAACGGCGACATCGCTCTCTCATCTCGGCCTTATCGGAGCGCAACGTCACCCCCTCCTTTACTACACACACAAACAGACAAAAACACACAGGTTGAGACACACGCCAAACCCTACAAAGGGCATTTTGGCTTTAGCAGCTGCGAACCCGACTGACCGCCAGGTCTTCCTGCGTCTCGTAAACACCTCGCTATCGTTTCAATCACATCTTCTTTCACTACCGTGGAGTGCACTTCAAAAGCGAGACATGTGAATGATTATGCTATTAACAAAAGTGAAGGCAAAAAAAAAAAAACATTCAATATGACTAAAAATAAAAGTTTAAGAAACAAAATATTCGCGTAACAAAAAATTAATTAAGGCATGCAGCAAGTACTGATATCTGTATGTCATTTTTGATTCGTTTTCCTGCATTTTATAGTCATCGCTGATATTTTTGTCCATTGGTCATGTGTCCCAAACCATTGAAGATAAAAAAAAAATATATTAAAAATGAATAAAATTAACAGAAATCCAAAACAACAAATAGCTGCCAAAAAGAAGAGTGTTTCCACTGGAATCACAGGCGTCTTTTGGGGGACAAAGCTAAAGCATAGTTAAAAAAGGCCAGATATTTACAGGGAAGTCTGGGTCATGCATGCAACTTGTCACAGCCTTCTGTATAGCCATGGGATTTGGGGAAACAAAACCCGTAACACACCACCAAGGTGAAATGTATATCGTAATACAAGAACAAAATGATCTGAAGTGAAGGACAGATTTTAAATACATCCATTTAAACTGCATTTACGTCTTCCAAACAATTGTCTCTTTTTAAAAAAACGACAGATGTATAAAAAAAATTATACTAACAGAACATGACAAAACGTCTATTGGCGTCAAGAGTGCTGTTGCAATGTAAAACCAAGCTTTCTACAATGTAAGCACAGATGACTGGATCTACAGAGTTTGATAGCCTATAAAAGTCAATTAAGGCTTCGCAGTAAACATCTGATTTGTTGACGCTGGCACTCCCCACCTTTTTTGAAATGTGTTGTGATCTGATTCGCTAAAGCCAGCATGGACATAGGAACATGCAATTAAACGCACGCAGTCACGCTAATACACTTTCACAGATATGATCCAGTACATACACACACTCACGTCACGCAACTAACTGTGCATTAGACAGGCCTCTGCCCTCCTCGCTCCTGTTTTTAAGGGCATTTGGCATCGATACGTCACATTTTTTTGACTCAGTACTCTGCTATGGGGGCTAGCTCGGGATTCAGATTGACCGTGATGTTCTTATACAGGCTGCTCAGAGAGATCTCCGGAGAGTACTGCAGATTGTTCAAGCCGTCCAGATGCTGTCGTTCTTTAGAGTACCTCAGCAACTTATACCTGAGGGGAGGGCGAGATGAACCAGGGGTTAGTGTGTCCTTGAGATAATCTGCTACAATATGCAACGATCTATACATGTATGACCGCAAATATGTTTTTGTCACACATAGGTCAATCCACTCTGGGTTACACAGAAACAGATGAATACAACTTTTGTTTAAGGTCAGGTCAAGTGTAAGCAAGTCAGAGGTAAAGATTGAACAGTGCAGTGACAAGAAAGCTATTTTCCACCCTGCAAATCTGCAAATTTCCACCCTGCAAGGGAGACTGAAGACACGTAGAGAGAAGCAATCGCACTGAATGGATTACCTTAAGAAATAACATTTGGAATGATCTATTCAGATTATTCTGTATTTTATATGTTGTGTTTAACTTGGAAAAACCCAATAAACAACGTAAAAAAAAAAAGAAAAAAGAAGAAATAACATTTGGATTGACAGTGCAGCTGGAATTAGTAATAAAATCTAGCCAACAAACGTCTCCTATGTCATCAAAAATTTCATAGAAAACATTAAATTGGCACAAAAAGAAACAGAATGGAAAGGTTTGCTTCAGAATCAATGGAAAAGACTAGACAAATTTTCTGTTTGAAAAAAATAAAAAAGGTAATATTATCTTTTGTAATAACAGTACTTTTTAATTAAGACTTATTGTTGATGTTATTGCAATGCCTGTACAAAAAAATGCTTCTATTTTGGACATAATTTGGGACAATTGTATAACATTAAACTACTGTTCAAACGTTTGTGGTTTGTAGGATTTTTTTAGAAACATTTTTTAAAGAAGTCTTTTTTTAAACAAGGCTGCATTTATTTGCTTTAAAACACAGTGAAAACAGCAACATTGTAAAATAATATTACAATTTAAGAAGCTTTTCCTTGAGAATCCTTCAGACATCATTCTAATATGCTGATATGAAAACAATATACAGTTAATTAAATGCTTAATATTTTGTGGAAATCAAAATATACTTTTCGGGATTATTTAGAAAGTTCATAGAAACAGCATTTATTTGAAATATATTTTTCTAACAAAGTATAAATCTGTGCCATCAATTTAATGCATCGTTGCTAACTAGAAGTATTAATTTCTTAAAAAAAAAAAACATACTCTTATCTCAACAGCAATGTACATTAGTTAATATATTAGTACAAATTTCTGCACGTATAACCCACCACTAGTGTTTACGTATGTGTGCACACTGACCTCCCCAGGAACTGCACCTCTCCTCTGTGGTGATGGGGGATAGATTTGTATTTCCCAATATCACCTTCTGGCCTGGTCACATTGAAACCTGCGTAATGAACCCTGAGAACAAGAAACCCACCCACACACACATTTGTGTTACACATACATCTATTTGTTTATGATAACATACTTCAGTCACACACAGCATCATGGTGAACTGTTCGTTATACAAAAGTAACTGGATAGTTGTGAAATACTTATGCTGGTCTTAGGAATACACACATACTACTAATTAAACAAAACTGACCTGTTCCAGAGGTCATCGTCCTCTCCGCCCCAGCCCCAGAATGCATTAGGAAAGCCATTGATCTTGAGGAATTGTTCGACAGTAAGTCCACTGACTCCACCAAAAAACTCATTATAGGGAAGGCTGAAAACACAAACACTCAACACTTAGCAAACTAAACTACAAATATGCCATCATTTGTAAAACATTTTTTTTTAAAAAAGGAAAAGGGGAAAATAAAAAGAATAAACATAAACCTTACCATCAGGAATCACTTGAAAGCAATAGGCAACAAAAAAGTATTTTAATAGTACAGACTGTCAGACTACTTCACAAGGCGATAAGGATGTACAGCACACATTTACTTCCTTGCAGTTTCCGCAAAACAGTTTTGGTTTCAACCAGAAATGAACAACCGTCCTTTCAAACTCAACCAAAGCAAAGCTGCACCATGAGGTCTTTAATCAGTCCTTGGTCACATGCAAAATAAGGGTAAATTCTCCAACTACCTCAAACCCTTTTGAGAAGCAATTAGAGCTGTGTTTACACCTCATTACACAAATGACATAATCTGCATAACAAAGAGCCCTAAAATCTGCATGTCCCTAAAGCCTTTCAGTCCTACCTAACATCAGAGTTCTATGAACAGCTGTGAGAAAAAAATAATAAAAATGAACCGTACCCTTGCATTTACTTTAACAAACATGTGATACGCAGATACAATACAGCAGGACGTGAACTTAAGGAACTGTAGGACTCTGCAGGTCCTTAACATCTACAAAATGACACATTAGCAGTGTTTTCCACAGACTTACATTCTATGTGTGGCGGCACTTCCCCCGGGGGAAATATATATGTATATAATGTAAATATAAAACAGCAGACGGGCTTATTGATAATGCACATTCATTCTCTGCCAGCAGGAGGCGTTTTAGGAGCGGCAGAAATCGCGGCTTCCCCGGTAACGGCTGTAATCAAAGCAGAGCTGTGCTCATGAATGCTACTTTATAAGGCATTATAGGAAAGATTAAATGAAAATGACATCAAAACTTTTCTGAAGACAATCGGTTCCCTTTAAAGATACATTTATATAAAATAACCCGTGCCACGTTTTGATTTTGAAACGTGCAGTACTCATGTATATTCCACGAAGTCAAAGTCTTTTGGAAAATCTATGGGCCGCCACAAATAAACCAATGTATGGGAAACCCTGCATTAGGTTTCTTGAAGCCCATCAAAATGGTTTATACAGACATTATGGATTGGATGAATGAGGAAAAGTGAATTGTTTAAACATTTCTTTAAAATGTAAAAAAAAAAAGAAAAAGAGTCTCAACTATGGCATGAAAGCATGGAGACAAGGATGGCCAAACAAGCTTAATGGCACACTCTTTTTCTTTGAGAAACACAATAGCCAAATAAAAAGCACATTCAAATCAATGCAAATTTACCCTGAATATTCAACAGCACAAGTATAGCATGGTTGTAGTTTTGTCTTAACTAAGTCAATTTATTTTTGCAAGCAACGAGATTAAAGTGAGAAACTATTTTAACACATTATTTGGTGGCATTAAAGGTTAAGCTTTAAACATACTTGACTATATTTTCAACAGGTTTTTGAAATGTATGCCGTTTTTGGTTGAATGAATTTGAAAATTACAGATTTTTTTTTTTCTCTTTGGTTCAGTGAATAGGTTCATTTTAGATTAAATTAGATAGCACCTCACAACAATCACTCCAACCAACTAACTAAACACAAACACTGGTTATATACATTAGGATCTGCAAGGGTCTACAGGCGGTGGATAACATCAATTATACACTCACACACACACAACCTAAACACGGCAATGTGTGCTCTATAACACTAGACTCGTTTAAAACACAAGCCTCAAACTGTTTAAAATACGCACTTTGAAAACAAACTGAACTCAACTTAGCGGCATTCAAAATCTGGAACACCAAGAGCTGGGCAATAAGGAAAATAAACATTAAACAATCAGAAAAATGACAAAAAGGGAGGGTAAATTAATGAAATAAAAAAGAGAATAAAGTAAAACTGCATCAGTGCTTTCTGATAACTTACATGTACATGTACTTGTCAAGCTTGGCGGCGAAGTGTCGAGGCATCTGACCACAACCGTAATAATTACGGTCGTTTTCTGGGATGTGATCGACGTCGTGAAACACCACACAGTCCCAGTCCAGGTCTTTCATGGCCTCTTTAAAGCCCACGTTAAACAGCATGGCACGGTTAAACGGCTGAGTACCCGTCTGAAAGCATATAAACACATGATTGAAAAAAAATGTATGATTGTTGATTGATTTTCTCAATCATCGGTACATGATACTGGCACTCTGAGGTCAAATACAAACTACTAAAGTAGACCATCAGTGGATGGTGGTATCGCATCAAACAGTGTACGTGCACACCTGTTCAATGGCATAAAAGGCAAACTGCAAGCGTTGGCGTTGGAGCATAGGGGCGAGGTGCTGAAAGAGAATCGGAAGATGCTCATGGCGATTCCTAAAGGGGATTAAAATGGCCACCTGAGAAAGAGCAAGAGAGAAAACCACAAAACCAGTCATGCTGATGTCCTGAATGACCTTTTTTTGAATATGTAATCGTGACTGTGACACACCTTCCAGCGTGGTTTGCAATCTTTGGGCTTCCAGTGGCCTCCAAATCGAATGTCCAGATTTTTGAGCCTCAGTTCGATTTCCTCCATAGGTACCTCTGTCATGTTCACTTCCATCTGACCCTCTGCAAGGAAATATACAACAGCAAGAAACTAAGCAAAAACAGGTGTTACTTACAAGGAAATTTTATTCTCAATTTCTTTGCAACTTGCAAAGCTGAAAAAGCTCAACATCAGTAAGACTTTTTTTTTTGCATGAAAAGTGGGTGTGCCTCACACTGAGACGAATGAGATACAGAGCATTTTAAACCTGAGAAGTCTAGATTAAGCTCATTGGATAGAGAGATTTAGAGAGGCAATATGCAACAAACAAAGGCCATTTTATGCTGCCTTTTAAGACTCTTTATAATGCCTTCTTTTGGCCAAAAGCTAAAGGAGCACCAGATTTATCCTTCACAGGAAAGGCAATACCATAATGAACTGCACCAAGTTTAGTGAAAAAAAAAAACAAAACACAAATTTACGGCGAGTGAAATAAGAAAAATGCCAATACGGAAAAGACAGAAGTTGGTCCGAAATCGCATGTTCTCAGAGTAGGTACTTCTATAAATAAGCAATTAATTCAAGATTGTTAAAAAAGGATGTTCTATATAGCATGCATGTAATCTAGACATACTACATTCATCATGCTGTCATCGTCATGTGACCTACAAACGTCAGTTGCGTCGCTTCTCTGTGCCCTCATGGGATAGTAAAGTGTCCACTGGATGCACACTTCAAAATCTCACCAGAAATAGTAATAGTAATCATTTGAGTACTTTTTGTAAGGCGTTTTATGAATTCTGTGAATTCAGACAGACTAGTCTTTTCACATACTGTTTGTATCTACTATATAGTAGGAAAGCATGCGATTTCAGAGTCAAAAAGGTCAGTTTAATTCAAGCAAACTAGTTTACCCAGAATGTGTGCCCTTTAGCGTATTTGTATACTTATTTGAATATTGCATCATTAGCTTAGCAACACCAAACTATATTCAAAGAATTTCTGAGTCAAATAAACAAAGGCATTGTTTAACTTACTCATAGAAGGTAACCTTTCGGGACAGGGCAGGTTCTGAGCATATGTGAAGTTCTCAGGGAGGTATGTGGTTGGCTGAGCGATATACTCGCTAGAGTTATTTCCATCTGGATAATCTGTTACAACAAAGACAGACAGATATACATTAAAGTCAATGTGAATTACTATTCCCAGTTTATTTTCATAGTGTGAATTATTTTTCAGTGACATGGTATTCGATGAGAAAAAATGCTCGGCAATGAATCGCCTGCGATTTTGAACGCGATTTTATGTAGCTTGTCAGTGAACTACGGCTCTGTGTAGTAAATGCCGCTCCATCTGAAAGCACGTGCTGGAGATTTACTACTAATCACAGGAGCTGCTTTACTGACGAGATGCGCATGAAAATCGCATTCGATTTTTTTGCACAGCCCTAACTTGATTTTATCCATTGGGAATTGATTGGACGGTGAAAAAATAATCAAGCCAGAGACTGAATAAGAGTGTCTAAAGAGCTCTTTGGCTATTGGTTAAGATCATTTAACAGCTTGTACGGTCTATGACAGCAGATAATTTTTGTTTTAGAAGAATACCAAGTTATTACATTTAGTTTTTGCAGTGGAACAACATTGATGAATAGTTCACAGTGAGACCAGGGATATTCATTAAGTGAGAAAATAAGGTCAAATTGATTTCACGTTTACTTTGAAGCCAAGAAACAGGATCAATTAAGCTGAAAGTACACTTCCCTTCCGGCTCATTAACACTTTAACAGTCAGCATGGTGTAATTTCTGTCATGATTTTCATTGATTTTTGTATCCGTGCGGACAGCAGTGCTCTCAAAAACAAAAGTCCACTAGGTAGTGTGCACTTGTCGAACATGTCCATCCATGCTCACGGTTAATAGTGTACACTTTGAAAGACTTGCACGTTTAACGGTGTGCTACATAAAGTGAAAATTTAACTATACCCGGGCCTTTGCAATAGTGTTTAGTTCAAAGATCAGTCTGGTCAATGTTAAGATGAAGAGACGTTCACTCTTACCTGTGCCGTTGAGAGTACTGTTCTTATTGGTGTATAGCCTGATCATGTGACCAATTGTCCGCACATTGTCTCGTAACATGATACCCTGAGCCTGTACCATGAAGAAATATGTGTTGACTGAAACAAAGAAAGAGAGAGAGAGGGGTAATGAATTTCCCAAACGATGTAAAGAAGAAACAAAACAGAGGTTAGCAGTAAATAATCAAATATGTAATCATATGTAATCAAATTTGCACACTGTTAAACAACTGTAATTGGACAGCCAAGTTGAACGCTTTTGTATTGAGTCTCTTCCTCTCACAGAAAAGCTCTGAAGAGCAGCATTGTGAGAAAATGGCAAATGCTGAAACTACAAGCTCCTATCATTGTAAGCATCGATAATGGTTTAGCCTCGGTTCTTGTCAGTGTAAAGCAGTTTTAATCTAACTAATACACAAAGGTTGTGTCAGCATTTCTGAGTCTATATATGAGGAGAAATGAACCGAGATTAGCAAAATGTCTACTGCTGAATTTCAACTATAGGTTTGAAGAGACGTCTGTACTGAGCTTCATATAATCAGAAGGGAAAAACTACATAAGCAAGTGTAAATCCATGACATCAGTGTAGACCAATCTAAATGAGAAAACAATCTTTTGGTTACTGCATACAAAGGACAAGCTTTACACATATATATACATGGGTAACAAGGTATAACAACACTAATCTGCTGTTCTCGCGTGGAAATCCAAGTGATAGGCAATGCATTAGACGACATTTGAATATTTTCACTTTATCAGCACTGGCCAATAACTAACTACCAATTAACTGAAACTAGACTGAAATGTATGTCCAGTCTTCTAATATTTTAGAGTGAATTTTTGCTGAAATATTGTGTAAAATTAAAACGTTCATTTTATCAATATTCTGCATCTATCCTATATAAAGTGTATTTTGGATTTAAATAAAATTACAAATAAATAAATAAATGTATATGTCAAAAGTGGCCAAAAGTATATCCACACCCACTTTTGCTTGTTTACCATTTCATTTCAAACCCATGAGCATTAATAAGGAGTTTTTCCCCTTTTTGCTTCTATAACAGCTTCTACTCTTCTGGAAAGATGTTGAAATGTGGATGGAGGGATTTATTCTCTTTCAGAAAGGTCATACGCTGATGTTGGGTGATGGGGTTTAGCTTACAGTTCCAATTCATCCCAAAGGTTCAATGGAATTCAGGCCTGGGCTTGAGTTCATATACATTTATAAATGATTTCTTTATGGACCTCACTTTCATGAGCATCCTCACACTCGAAACAAAAACGCCTCATTCCACTATAAATGGACGAAAGAAATTGTGAATTATAATAGTGTCTACATGTAGTGTCTACACATCGGCATTGATATACTGCAAAACCTGGTCATCCACTAGTATATTCTAAATAAATAAAAAAAATCTAATATATAGTCTAGAAATGGATAAAAAAAGGTTTATTTGGTGGTAAAACACATTGGTTCTTCCTAACCGCCAAGAGCTCTTCATACATTAGACACAGTGCAGTGAAGGCCGGTCAAACAACAGTGAGGAAAAAACATTAGCTTTCTTGGGCACTGATTACACAAACACAGCAAGAGCTATTAAACAGGACTTGGCTGTGTCTAGTGTTGTTTTTGGCGGCCTGTTTTACCGTATTGGCCCGAATATAAGATGACCCTGATTATAAGACGACCCCCCTTTTTCCAGATGTACCTTTTGGAAAAAGGCTTTTTAAAAACCAAATCTTGTTTTTTCTCAGTAAAACACATTTTGTCTTCAATTATTTTCATATTGCATATTTTTCCTATTTTAATTTTTGTTTTGAAAGTATGGTAAAAACTGGTAAAATGTACCAACAATCACATTTTAAAAATATAAACTTTTTGATACACCATTAAAAAAAAAAATAAAATAGCCCATCTGAATTAGGACATTTAGGCTATCTGTGTCAGGGTTCCCTCTCTTTTTCAGTGATAATTTTCCAGGACATTTTTAATTTAATTACAGTGACAATAAAAGACAAGGATCATGCCCTAAAGTAATATATCCCTCTCTCCAGAAGCCTTTAAAAACATAGCCTACAGTTTATGGCTACGACTTAACTAAGAAAATCAGCTCATTAATATGAGCTCTTAATTATACATTACAACAAATGATTTTCAGAAACAATTTCAGTACCATAGAAAAAAAGTATTTAATTATTTTATTAAACTATTTGAACATGAAAATTAATTAAATCAGTTCATTATTTATGCTAATAATAATATTAAAGAAAATACTGGCATGTATCCTTCAAGTAAGTAATTAAGTATCGCTTTAAAAGGGTCAAGTAAAAACTGAGTGGATTCTGACTTAAACACCTCTGATTGGCCATTGCATATCACTGTTCACGGAAAGCAATATGCACAGAAGCGTTTGAAAAGCATTTAAAAGTTACTGAATCACTAAAATACTCTTCTTAAGGTTCACCACTGGACAGAACGTTGGGAAACACATCAATGCTCACACCGTCGAAAGTCAGTAGCGATGCACCAATCTTGATGACTACAAGAACAAGATGTTTTTGCTCTATTGCAGGCAGTACTATCTATAGCTATTTAAAGGGGTGGTTGACTTTTTTTTCTAGGCTTGATTGTGTTTATGGGGTGCAGTCTAACATGTGTTAATGCTTCGTTTAAAAAAAAAAAACGCATTATTTTTCACATAATATACCTTTATTCTACACCGCTCTGTCTCTTCTCCCATAAACACGCTGATTATTTCCTAGTTGAATGAATCCCCTCCCTCAGAAATAGGCGATGGGCTCTGATTGGTTAGCTAGTCCAGTGTGTTGTGATTGGCTAAACCGCCTCTAGTGCGCGTCTGAACGTCACGCCCCTCACCTCAGCGGCATGTGCTCCGGTTGTATTGTAAACAATGGCGTCGTCAATATTGCTTATCAGTTTGAGCCCGATTGAGACGCAGAGGATATTAGTGAAGAGAATCGCACAGAACCCATGCAAGCACGGCTCTTAATGGTATGTTTTTTGTTTGTTGTTGTCTCATACTTTTAAATATGCTGTTATTTGTAAATGCTACTGCTTCTACCTTTAATATACGGTTTTATACTGATTAAAGCTTTAATACAGTACGGCAACCGCACGCGTGTCCATGTATAACGCTTCTCATAGCTATGTGAAAATAAGTGTATAAATGGAACAAATCATTGTTGGAGCTGAGCTGATGATCTGAATGAGAGAGAGAGAGGTAACTACTGCATTTTAATCAGGATCCAAACAAACATGCTGCTCACATGAGCAGTTTCTGATTTAAATTTGATTAACTTAGATGTAATTTCAAAATCTGAAGACATAAAACAGAGACTTTAGCTTTGTGAAATTATGCTACATAAAACATATTTGCAGGAAACAAAAACAGCAGATGAGCTGAATGAGACGCAGATTCACGCTCTGACAGAAGGTGGCGCTCATTGAACAGCAGCGATACAGCGTTTCCGTGGTTACCACTGTAAACAAAGCAGAGCTGAACCAAAGCCACTAGAAGGCAAGCCTGCAACCATTAGCCGAAAAAGAAAAAAAATGCCATTTTAGAGAAGACACTGATTTTTTGCGACAGGTGGGATTCAGCTTACGGTACTTCTCATTCATTCCTATGGTATCCGTAAACTGCGACTGAGTGTCGCACAACTCTGACTGAAATTCAATGATGTCAAGGCTGTAATGTGATTGGTTATTAAGGGACACGTGATCCAAGTTAGCCGTTACACTTTCTCCAATAGTGAGTAATACAAACCCTCTCATCTCCTTATAGTAAGACAATCTCTGGCTGAGCTTATAAACACTACTTTAATATACATTATAGAGCATAGATATGTAGATTCCCCATTTGACTGCGCCAAGCACGTAGACGCGTCCACCATCTTAAACGGTAACAGTTCGAAGTTGCCACAATCCTGCACAGCCGATGGTTGTAAAAACCTCCAGGATTTAAATTCCCTAAGAAACGGGATAACCTTATACAGGTGAGAATGTGTTGGGGTTTGTGTTTTTAAATGTATTAACTCAATATTACAAGTTTTGAAACATTGGTAACTTATGTTACTGTTATGGTGAATGACGTCAAGTTGACCCTTCGAATATGGCGGACGGCTTACGTATAGCAGCCCATAGTAACAGTCACTAATGAAGCATCTACATATACATACTGTATCTATGTTATAGAGAGCCAAGATGAAAAGAAAATACCATCTAAACTTTTCTGAAGACAGTCAGTTCCCCTCAGAGAAACATTCATATAAACCCCCACCCGGGTCACCCCAATTCAATATTAAGGATTTTCTTCCAATATTTCACTCATGGTGAACAAATGAGCTGCTCTGCCAGCTACAGTATTTTCCCCTCTTTGCGTTGGTCTTCAGCGTCTCTGGCCTCTGTTAACGTCTTTGTAATATTTCCACACAAATGACATTTTGGAAAATGCTTGCAATACAGTTTGTGTGCAAGTCCGGAACAGAGATCAGCTGAAATAAAACAAAAGAGCCGGTTGCCGATCGCACATTTGGAGCAAAAACAGGCCGGTTCAGATTTATGGCCGTTCAAACGTTTTCTACTACTAACATTAATTGTTTCGGGCCAGTGGTAAACTGTTCGTTCTTGGCTAAAGGAAAACACAAGTGAATTTTTTTAAATAATTTTCCAGGACAACTACAAGATTTTCCAGGACATTTTACATTTTCTCTCATTTCCTATGTGTTTTCCAGGACTGAAAACAGGACAGTCATCAATTTTCCAGGTGTTCCAGGAGGCGTGGGTTGCCGGTGTACTGACATGTGTTGGAGGGTTGCCTGGATTTCTAGATAAAGATTTTAGCACAGACACGGAAAGAGGGACGGCAGAGTGATCTGTTTCATGTCCACACAAAATGGCCAAGAAGGCTGTGAAATCCTTTTTTTCTTCAAACTTCTGTAAGGACAACAGTCAGGCTGAAAGTTTAATATTACAGCTGGTTATTGTGTAGACATTCAGTTAAGCAAGTCATGACAAACTGCAAACAGGTTAAGACAGTTTGTGCGAGCATCCCAATACAAGAGAGTACACTTTCACACCTGTTTAACACTTTGTAGTAATGCCAAATAAGTATGTTAAGTAGTATGTTAGTCAACATGACATAAGTACTGGATTCAAATTTTACTTGTACTGCACTATTTGATATTACATTTAAAGTTAGGTTTAAATGTACTAAATAGCAACTTTATCATTACAAATGTGTAATTATGAGTATATTTAAATACATGACATACAAGTTTTAAATTACATTAAAGTATATTTCACCTTACCATAAATGCTTGGTGTATTCAGCAGTACACTTTAACCATATTTAAAAGACAAATATGAAAAATAGTAAATATGAAATTACATATAAGCTGTACTTAAAGGGGTCATATGACGTTGCTAAAAAGAACATTATTTTGTGTATTTGGTGTAATTCAATGTGTTTATGCGGTTTAAGGTTAAAAAAAAAACATTATTTTCCACATACTGTACATTATTGTTGCTCCTCTATGCCCCCGCCTTTCTGAAACGTGTCGATTTTTACAAAGCTCATCG